AAAAACAAACGTCGATACCAGAAGCTTCGGAAGATAATGGGCCATTTCGCTTAGTGGTACCTGTCTCTTATACACATAATTAAAAAAATAAAAAAAATAATTCAGCCGATTTTTACCAAAACACTTAATTATTAACGAATTTGGAGTTTGCGATTAATTGGATTAATCGCCAAATATTCAATAGCATTACTCTGAGTAGAAATTTGATATTTTGATGGTATAAATCGACAAAGGATATTATGTACAGGAATAATACAATCGCGGCTTTCATCATAAAATTCAGATTTCCACAACTCGACGTTACAGCTCTCGTCTTCATCATCAATATGAAAATAATATCGACTTTCACTCGTACTAGCTGGTCGATACCAACGAATATATGCCAAATTATGTTCCATTTGTCCATTTGGTAAGTCGACTGTATATTTGAAGAAGTATTGAATTTGTCCAGGATAACTGTCAACTTTCCTATCACTAGTTATAAATTTGGCTAGGATACACGAGCTTTTTGTATGTCAAACTGACATTGCGGAGCCAAATACTTCAGAACCAATTTGGCATCTTCCAAATTGATTTATCTTTACTCAAATTGTTATAGAATCTTGGATAATTTCATCTGCTGGTTTGCGAAACTTGTACATTTTGATATAAGAAGCATTATAAAAAGAAACCATCAGTTCGAGCATTGATTCGGTCATTATTGCTTCAGAACTAGGCTTCAGCATTTCTTCAGGAAACAGCTCGCATCCAGTAATAGTCGATTCCTGTATGTTTTTAGCATTTAGCCAAAACCGCTCTAGTTCATCTGAAGAAAATTGGTTCGCAGCCAATATTAAACCAGTTGTGGGTCAATCTTCAAGCAATTCTAAGTCTTTCGTTTGAATGTCAGAACTAATGATATCTCTAATTCGATTATCATTCATTATCTGACGCATTATTTCTGGTTCAATTTGTCTATTACTTGTTGGCAATGAGCCTTAAAAATTATTAAAAATAAGACTAACAATGTAAACATCTGAATAAAGTAAAAAAAGTAAAAAAAAGAATATCTTACCAAGTATTCCATTCATACGCTCAAATGAAAAACACCAAAATGCATACAATGGACCAAAATCATTCGAACAATCGCACAAATGGAGCGAAAGGTGAAGATTAGGCGTAATTTTTACTCTTCCATAGTGTACTTCAATAAGCTTAATTATTTTAATTAGCCTCTCATGAGCTTCTTCCATTAATTCAATTTCTAAAATTTGGCTTACTAAAATAGAACAAACTCTAACGAAATGTGTCAAGATTTTTCGATCTTTTGACGATAAATGTTCCCACAATGAGGTAGTTGTGTAGATCATAAAGAAAATTCACCACTGATCGGCTGTATAGTTCGAAAACCCTTCTCCACGCTCAATATTCCTGGGAATTCGTCCCAAATCAGCCAGTATTTTGAATTGATTCATTTTTTCTTGAATCTTCTTTAGATCGTTCGGGGTTAAAACACCCTCGTCGATCCAAATCCTCTTCATTATCCACCTCACAATTCCTAAGAATAAGCAGTGCATTGGATCTACAATAATAAAATGAATTGGGTCAAAGTACGGCAATCGAAGTAACTCTGACCACCTAACCCCTTTTTCACTAACGAAATTCTTTCTTGAATTGGTGGAATTGCAACTTCGCCATGCAAGAGCATTTTGACGATGTTCGGTCGAATCACGAGTAATGAACCAATTCTCCATATCCTCCATACCTGCAAAATCAAACGTCGATATCGAAACAACAATCCGCAGCTTCCGGTTCTGGTTCTATCAAAACTCAAAAACAAGCATCGAACACAGGTCGAAAAGTGAAAAATCAGGCATCAATCAGTCACCAATCAGGCA